GAGAGAGAGAAAGAAAGAAAGAAAGAAAGAAAGAAAGAAAGAAAGAAAGAAAGAAAGAAAGAAAGAAAGAAAGAAAGAAAGAAAGAAAGAAAGAAAGAAGAAAGAAAGAAACAAAGAAAGATGGTGCACATGCTCTCCTGATTTCTAATCCTGCACCTATAACCACTATACCACATTGGCTGTCATGATTGCTATACGTCTAGTATGCCATATATGCCCACAAACACTGAGGTACCTCATAATAATGAACAAAACTTTGCAAAAACACGGTTTCCCTATCTGTTGACCTCCAAATGTGCTGGATTTAACCTATTTTAGGGTTAGAGCAGATGAGTTCCAAAACATTCAGAGGACAGGAGTTTGCCCAAAGCTGAGTTAAAGGTACTTAAGGGTTGTTTCTTTCTGCATCTGTGTTACTTTCTCCTAAAACTGAATAGCTATTGATGGTAATTAGAGAAGGCATTGCATTCAGTGTGGGTTTCACGGTAAAATGTTGATACATAGTTTCTGAAGTAACACAAAACTAAATAAGGGTACAGGAGACTTCAGCCATTCTTCCAACAAGCTATGTTGCTGAGGACATCATGTTAAATTGTGTATGTTGTGTTTTAATCGCATAACACTTGCTTAGGCTTAGGCTGTTGTGTGAAGCCATTTCTAGCTTATTCAATAAACGTATGATTAACACAAAACATGGCTTAGAACAGGGGTTTCCAACCTTGGCAACTTTAAGACTTGTGGACTTCAACTCCCAGAATTCCTCACCCAGTAAAGCTGGCTGAGGAATTCTGGGAGTTGAACTCCACAGGTCTTAAAATTGCCAAGGTTGGAGACCCATGGCTTAGAAAAATAAGTGAATCCAAGCTAACCATTATTTTCTCACATATCAATTACTCAATTGTCATGTATCAATGATAGTATCAATGACTCAATATCTTATTTTAAAAGCTTGCAAGTTACATCAGCATGGGGGTTTTCTTTTCTTTTTTTACAGGAAACTTGGAAACACCTTCCTTCAGCTCAGGAATTCTCTATCAGTACCGATACTCACTAGACAACCAACTAAGTTTCCTATCCAGGCCAACTTTGCAGGGAAGCAAGCTTCAGGCAGAAGCTGTGGTTGATGTGAATCTCTTGTGGAGCAACATCGACAATGCAGGCGAACAACTGCTCCAAATCCAAGTTAGTATTGCTCTTCTGCTTTCTTGGTTTTTCAGCTTCTGAGGAAAACATGGCCGTTCTATAGACCAGGAGTGTGAAACTCAATGTCATTGAGGGGCACATCAGGGCTGTGGTTGACGTCGGGGGTAAATGGGGTGTGTGTGGCCAACTGGGTGTGTGTGGCCAACTGGGTGTGTGTGGCCAACTGGGTGGGCGTGGCCAACTGGGTGGGCGTGGCCAGCTTGATGCCACTCCCCAAACTACTGGCATGCTTCCTTTTCACACTGGGTAGACCAGGCCGAAGCCACACTGGCCTGATCTTTTTTCTTTGCACTGGGTAGATCAGGACAGCCCTGCGGGCCAAATCCGACCACATCATGGCCCAGATCTGCCCATGGGCCTTGAGTTTGGCACCCCTGCTATAGACCCTTTGATTTTATTTAACTCTACTCAGAAGATACGTTTCTTCCTATCAGCTGTAGGCTTCTAAAGAGCTATTTGCCAAAAAAGCAAGGCTTAGCTTTTATTTATTGAAATTTTAACCCACCTTTTATTACTTTGTAATAAAAACATCCTGCAAGTCCCTTGGACTGCAAGGCGATCAAAACAGTCAGTCCTAGAGGAGATAAACCCTGACTGCTCTTTAGAAGGCCAGATCCTGAAGGCGAAACACAAATAATTTGGCCACCTAATGAGCAGGAAGGACTCACTGGAGAAGAGCCTAATGCTGGGAACAGTTGAGGGCAAAAGAAGAAGGAGATGACAGAGAATGAGGGGGCTGGATGGAGTCACTGAAGCAGTTGGCGTGAGCTTAAATGGATTCCAGAAGATGGTAGAGGACAGGAAGGCCTGGAGGAACGCTGTCCATGGGCTTGCGATGGGTTGGACACAACTTCACGACTAACAAGAACAACAGCAACAACAACAACGGCAGCAAATATACATATTTCTCCCTCTTGCTGCTATTTTCCCCACAACAACAATCCGGTGAGGTGAGGTGGGCTGGGCTAAGAGAAAGTGACTGGCCCAAAGTCACCCATCTGGCTTTCATATCTAAGGCCGGACTAGAACTCATAGTCTGCTGGTTTCTAGCTCAGCATCTTGATGTAAACTAATTACGTATAATGCAAGTCTACACATTTAATAAAAGTAATAATAAAACTCATCGCCATGAAACAGTGGTGACATACTATCACAAGGGCACATATTTTAGAACTGGTGAAAAAAGAAGAGGACAAAGTGAGGACACAATCCTGTTCTCATTTATCTGGCGGTCATTATTGCAAGATGAGCAGTGTTGAATAGTTCTCCATACCAGCATTTCATACCTGCTTCTATATTATGGTATTTATTTATTTAGCATATGACAGAGAAATCTATGCATGCTAGACACACAATGCAGTCCTAACAGCCTAGAATGCATTCTGTTCAGTGCTTGGGGGGCAAACTAGCTTTATACCACTAACTAGTGACGCTCATGATGCTGGCTTTTCTGGGCTCCTCCGCCATTCTCACCTCACCTCACCTAGCATCCAATCAGATGCCATGCCAGCTTCCATGCTCCGCACACACAAATGCAGCTACTGGTAGTTTTTTTCCCAATGAAATGATACCCATTAATCTACTTGTAATATTACACACTTTTGAACTGCTGGGTGAACAGGAGCTAGGGATCGAGTGATGGGAGCTCACACCATCTCACAGAGTTGGACTCGAACCATCAGAGTACAGACCATTTCTGGCCAGCAGTTTCAGCATCATGAAGCCTCTGTGTCACTCGCTGTGTGCCCTATTTGAGGCTTAATTCTACGCTGCATCTAAGACTAAACGCAACTATAGTTTGCACACATATGCCTTTTTCCTTATTTCTTTCCCTTTTAAAATCTGAGCTACCTCCTTGCCTGAAACTGCATTCTTGCGCACTGCTTGATGACATAGTTTTCACCTCATAATGCTATTGTTGATTTGAAGTGTCCCAATTTTATTCCACCCATTTTGGGGACTTAGCTCCATGACTTACGCATCAATCAAGATTTGAAAAAGAAGGATCAGACTAGCCAAGGCCATTCTGTAAAAGGCTCAGTGAATGCTACTGAACTGGAGCAACCATTTTTCCTCCATTGGAATAAGGGAAAGGTATGTAAATATTTCTCTACTGACAATAGCAACAGCACTTAGACTTATATACCGCTCCACGGTACTTTACAACCCTCTCTAAGTGGTTTACACAGAGTCAGCCTATTGCCCCCAACTATCTAGGTCCTCATTTTACCCATCTAGGAAAGATGGAAGGCTGAGTCAACCTTGAGCCTGGTGAGATTTGAATTGCCAAATTGCAGGAAGCTGGCAGTCAGCAGAAGTAGCCTGCAGTACTGCACTCTAACTACTGTGCCACTGTGGCTCAAACAGCCGGTGGCCCCTTTTCATTTGGACTTGTTTATGTGCTGTTTTCCTTTCAGCTTCATGTTCAAGCACATTGTTCTGGGCATCCATCCTCAATGCATATTGAGACCGCAGCTTTCAATACACAGAATGTTATCATGCTTAGTAAGAGGGAATTCCTTTTTCGGATGGACGAGCACTGCTTTTTTTTTTTAATGGGAGTAAGATTGATACCAATGGGCAGCTCCTGATTCTGCTCCCAGCAAATGCATCAATGGCTCCATATTCTCATCCAGCCTTTCCCCAATTGGTTTCCCTCTGGTTGAATTGAGATGATAGGTCCCCAAATCCTCAGCTAACTCCTTTAACACAGAGAGGGAGCAGGAGGAGGAAGGGAGTGACCACAGTGAATTGAGAAGGCCTCTTCACTTGGTTTGAAACATCAGGTTGCTTCTTACCTTTATATCCTGCTATACATCTCTTGTTCACTTTGTTACTCTTTCCTAGGCATGCCTATAAAAGTTGTCTTACATCTTGCAGGTCAAAGCTTTCTACGTAGCCAAAGAAGAGAAACCTTTAATTCTGGAATTGAAACGAGGCCTTCTCAGCCTTCTCCAGTTTCAAACCCATTCTGGAACAATGACTGAGGTAAAATATAAAGTTTCCCTGAACTGCATAGCATCTGTAGTTCTGACATCTCTCTACAGGAAGTCCTCAACTTACAACTGTAAAGCAGGTCACCCACATGACTGGCCCGATTTTACGGCCTTTGTTACAGCAATCATTAAGCAAATGATCATGAAATGACTCCATGGTCATGAAGTGAAGCCATTGCTTGCTATGGGGCAGGGGTGTCAAACTCACATTATCATGACGGTGTCATGTGATGTATTGGGACTTTTTTCCTCTTCATTAAACTGGGTGTGGGCGTGACCAGCTCCTGACACATCCAGCCCAAGGGCCAGGAGTTTGACAGCTCTGCTATGGGGTGTTTTTGTCCAAAGCTGGAAGTAAATGCTGGTGTCAGCATTCCAGAAAACCTCCACTCCAACAAATAACTCCAAGACAGACATAGTCTCCAAAGTTCTTTTTTATTTGGATAGTAAACTGGCACATCTGGGAAATCCCGAATATGAAAGTTCTGGGTTTGCTTGCAACAAGTAAAAACTACAAATCCACCCACTGCACCCCTCATTGCATCACATGCCCCAATCACCATTCGTTTCTCAGCTTCAGACTTCCTCTCAACCAGGTGCAGAAATAACATGACCTTGACTTAGAAGAAGAATGCTACTGTGTCTAACCACATAGACTCCAAGAAATTCCCCCCTCCCATTTTCCCAGGCTCAAGAATGTGGCAATGTGGAAGCATCTGGTGCTAGAATGGCTTCCAAAACTGACAGCTGATTTTCAGCAAAAATGTTGTAAATTGTGATCATGTGACCATAAGAGGCTGAAAACTATTATAAATGTAGGCTGGTTTCCAAGTCAAATGACCATGGAGGACAGCCAATAGAACTGGGTTATAAGTACCTTTGGGACTATTTGTATTACCAAGCCATCATTTTACCTGAATATTGAATCTAACGCCTCCACCTTTGCTAAAAAGTGTTTTCATACATTGAAATAAATCAGGCCTTATGGTTTAGGCAAAATTCATGGTGATTTGAACAATACTGATCCGTAATGATCATTCATTTGATTGATTGATTGATTGATTTCCATTTATGTGGCTGCTTTTCTTAAATCCATTATTCTGCACAGCTAACGTTATTTTTAAAAAGCACAAAGCAGAAACAAGCACTGACAACAAACATATCAACCACAGCTAGGGTAAAGGCAAACTCATCAATAGTAAATCAATATCACCGTTGTAGACTATTCTTCCAGGAACAGAAAAATGTAAACACTGAATAAATGGCACTTATCACAGGCATGTATTGCTAATCCCAATGACAAAAGAAGTTCCTAAAATTACAGTATGAGATCACAGGACAAATCCTGGCCTTCCATACAGAAACAGGTCATAACTGGTTTACCCTTCTCAGATACCCTTTTGTTTTTAAAAGCAAGGATGACTATTTCCAGATCCTAGAGAATTAGTTTCGGGCAGCTTCCCCTTCATTTTGCGTGGGAATCTCTAAGCCTGAAACACATTGGAATAAAGTAGATTTAACATAAATTCAACCCAGAAGAATTTGTTTTATTACAAGCGATCCAACACAGTGCATGCAAAATACCCAGAATTTCACAGGTGAAATCTTTTAAAGAAACAAACAAAGCAATACAGGTGTTTGAATTATATAAAGGGCTAAAGTTACATCTGCTGTTTTAATCACAGTGTACCCATTTTCATTGTTTAGGAGGACATTTCTGGAAGCTGTCAGGTTACCTATGCTGTCTCTAAGGATACTGTTTTGAAAACAAAAGACCTACAGACCTGCAAAAGACCCAAATTTGGATTCAGCACAGCTAACAAAGCAAGTCAACTTCTTTTTTTATCACGTTGTGTATTATATTTCAGATATGCTACAGTCTGTCTATTAGAACTCTTCCCCGATGACATAATTCCTCGTTAATCTTGCTTTACGATGGTCAGAAAAATTGTTGGTAGACAAACCTCAAGTTTCATTCATCTTTCACAGACAAAATACAAGTAAAACTAACCCACCCAGCAATTTTATCTTTCTCTGAAATCTGAAACCAGGATTATGATTTCTTATGCCAAACATGCCCGGGCTTCTAAGCATACTTAAATCAACATTTATTTGGGGTTTCTCAACCTTATTTGGAGCAAATTAAAAGACACCCTGGGAACAAACAAAGGTATTGAAGTAACATACTATGTAATTTAATTTATTGCTATATGAGAAGTCAGGTCCTATATCCCATTCTATATGTCCTGGAGTCCCTACTTTTTGTTGTTACACCACATGCACACATGTACATACATCCTCTCAGGGCTTGAGGGAAGCCTCTGCAGCCTTTGGAGGCCGAAAAATGGGCCCGTTTCATCACTTCTGGTATTTCCAGAAGGCCCTTTTTTCAGCCTCCCGAGGCTGCAGAGGCTTCCCTCGAGCCTCAGGATGCCAAAAAAGGCCTCAAATGGGCTGAAAAATCAGCTGGGAGGTGCGCTCATGCACAGTGCAGGTATGTGGCTGGGGGGGGGGTGTTGCGCGCACATGTGCAGAAGGGCCGGGGGGGCCAGGGCGCATTGCTGCTACCGGTTCTCCAGAACTGGTCAGAACCTGCTGAATACCACCTCTAATCTTATCCCCCTCCTAGAATGAAAGCCCTGATCTCCTAGAAAGAAGAAACCACAACTGGCTTTGTAATTTACGCATTTACAATCTGTAATTTCCTAAACAAAAGTTACTAATGGTATAACTCAGCCCCTCACATTTTTAAGGACATAAATCAGACATTCTTGACCATTATCACTCTATGGCTGAAACCCAGATGCATTAATTCATTCATCACTATTTTTATTTTATTTTTGCAAAGTAATGCTTGATTGTAATTAATCAACCTGTGAATCAAGTTTTTGTATTTCTCCCTGCCAGAATGCATTGTCAGCATTTCAACTAACCAACTCCAAACCAATAAACTCTGAGACAAGCATTTCCTCAAAGTTCCATTTTATTAGAGTTGTCATATTGGCACATCTGGGAAAACCCAAATCTGAGTGTTCTGGGTTTTCCCTTCCCAAAAGAAATTCAAAGTTCCACCCCCTGCCCCCACCAGTCCATCACATGGCCCAATCAAAGCTTCGTCCCAACTGGAGACATTCCTCCAGACACTCCTCTCCAGGTGCAGGGCAACATGTCCTTGACTTTCTTAGAAGAATGTTGTTGAGTCTAATCTTCCATCTCTCTACTAAATCCCCCCTCCCAAATTCCCAGGCACTAAATGTGGCAGCCTCGAAGCTTTTGAGAAAATATGGCTTCCAAGGCTGACATGCAGTATGTGAGGGTGCTTGGTACTCTCTGAGTGTTCTGACCCAAACCTTTTTCCAATAAGACAAACAATAACCAAAGGGAAACAGAAACCTTTTAATGAGTCTTACGAATCCCCGGTTAAAGGGCTGCTGCAAACTAATTAACTTTGATAAGCACAAACCTTGCCCAAACTGTACGAGACTGCTAAGAATCACAGATAAGAAATATTTCACAACACAAGAGTCTTCAAATACCAAATTAAGATACTGTAATGTCCAGGCTGAGTTTCAAAACGTCTTTGCTTCCTGCAAAGAACGTTCGCTTCACAGCTGGCTTTTATCTTCTTGAAGGAGGGGCCATTACCTTGCAGCCTTATTCCCGAGTCACCCGTGGTGCTGCAGCTGCTCTTTCCTATGAGCAGCCCTGCACTCACGCGCACTTGGCACAGGCTCCTCGGGAACCTCCTCATCGCTGCTGCCAGCCCCCACAATCTCTGAAGGCAGCAGTCCACTCCCTAATGGCCCTGGCCCCTCATCTGAGTCCTTGCTCTCCTCAGCCGTCCGCACCTGCTGCCGGCTAACCACAACACTGAGCTTGGTTGTTCGCTTGCTGACATTTCATTACATAGCCTGATAGCAACATTGGAACACTGACAATATTGTTCCCCAGTCAAGTAATGAAACATCTGCAAGCAAACAAGCAAACGCAGAGAACACCAAGGATTCCACAGTTCAATTCTGAGCTACGCATATTCTCTCCTGTTGGAAAATGCAAACTGATCGTATTTCCATTCTTTTAACAGATTTTTGGACTCCTGTGGCATCCCACAAGTAAAAGCCATTACGTGATGGAAGGAAATCTCATAAAGTCAGCCTCGTCTGAGGAAAATCATATAATTCACCAAGGCATAAAGTCATCTGTTGGAGTCGATATCACCTCCAGGTTAATGTTGTAGGGTTCATTCAGTTGATCTGCAGCTTGGGGAAGTCTAACCGCATAGCAAAATAACAGAGTTGGAAGAGACCTTGGAGGTCTTCTAGTCCACCACCCCCCCTGCACAGGCAGGAAATCCTGTACCATTTCAGACAGAATGTTATCCAATCTCTTCTTAACAACTCCCCATTAACTGACATTAGTAAATGCCATCTTGTTCATTGAAGCTGGAGCCAGATGCCAGGAAAAGCACAGAGGACACAAGAGTGGTTTGCTTTCTTCCAGGATGTGCTTTTACGTGGTAGACTAGCCTATAACTCTGTTTTGTTCTGGAGATCTCTACTCAGATACTAACCAGGCCTGATTGTTGCTAACTTTCTCAAACGCAGCCAGGTTCCATCAGAGAAAATTAGAAATAATGCCTATTTTGGAAAGTTTCCTCTATATTTTAAATTATCCCATTTTCAATACTGTAAAAATTCCAGTGATCCACACACTACTCAGTTCCCCAAGTCTTCTTGTAGTTGAGGGGAGGGTGCAAAGACAAGTTAACGAAGACCATGCTTGCTCCGTGGCTACAAAAATACAGTCATAACTACCCGTTCTTAAGAGGAATAAAAAAATAAGGAAATGGAATGGAGTATTCTGGAAGAGGGCAAGGCCATCTTCAAACCTGACCAGAAGTATCCAACCACGCAACGTTGGTTGCAATTTCCATGCTATACTTGCAACATGCAAAGTCCACAAGACAATAAGAAGGAAGAGTTACAGGTAGTCCTCAACTTAAAACAGTTCATTTAGTGACCGTTGTTCTGACCGAGGCTTCCTAGACTGTAATTACACACACGCTTCTTTTAAAAACAAGTCTTGTTTTATTGCAAGGCTGGGAATTGTTTTCATTCCCAGCCGGTAATGAATCTCAAACAGTTCCTCGAGATAAACACCCACCTTTCTTTTCTGTGAAGTGCTGCCAATAACAGGAAGTGTCAAATGAACTAGAAAAAAAACCAACTGAAATCCAAAGAGCTTCAAGAATGACTCTGAACTGAACTAATGACTTTGCTTCCTGCAAAGTTGTCATCATCTTTGCCTGTCCTTTATACCTTATGGGAGGGGCCATCACCTCCCAGCCTTACTCCTGAATTGCCCCTTTTGTTTCAGCTGCTCTCGCCTTCTAGCAGCTCTGCACACATGCGCACTGGGAACAGGGTCCCCTTGTTCCTCAGCCTCACTGCTGCCAGACTCCGGAGGCTCCGGAGTCAGCATCCCACTCCCAGATGGTCTTGGCCCCATCTCTGCATCGGACACAGGACCCTCATCCGAGTCCTCTCCAGACTCCCGGACTGGTCCCCGTTCTTCCCCACTGTCCGATTCCGCTGCCATCTGCACAGGCTGCTGGCAAGCCACAACAACCGTTCTCAGTTACCAGAGCACTGAAAAAGTGACTTACAACCATTTTTCACATAATTTCAGCATCCTCACAGTCCTGTAACCAAAATTCAGATCCTTGGCAACTGGTTCATATTTATGACCGCTGCAGTGTCCCAGGGTCATAGGATCCCCTTTTGCAACCTTCTGACAAGCAAAGTCAATGGGGAAGCCAGATTCACTCAACAACCATGTTACTAACTTAACAACTGCAGTGATTCGCTTAACAAGAAAGATGGTAAAACGGGGCAAAGCTCATTTCTGCTTCACTTAGCAGCATAAATTTGGGGCTCCATTGTGGTCGTAAGTTGTATTTAAAAGCAAAGGTCCAATTGCCAGTCTCTTCCTTCTCTCCCTAGGCAACACCTTGAACTTCTGACCCAAATGCCTGGATCCAAAGAATTATCTGGAAAGAATCTTGAGAAAGTTCTGAACTCTCTCCTGGGGAGACCTCAGCCCATTAACCTAACCAGCCAGCCATTCAAAAGGATCTGCAGCGAGTGCCCGACGGTGAGTGAGACAGAAAGTTTAACCTAAGTTCAAATCTCTAGTCTGACATTGTCGGAATCTGCCTTTTATAATTTTCCAGCAATCGGTAATGGGAGTTGAAACCCGAATGGAAGAACATCAAATTAACCCTAAGACATAATTATAATGTATAGATTATGTATAACGTAATTATAATGTACAGATTATAAGTAGTCAGTGACTACTTCAGCTTCAACCACAACAACACAAGAGCACACAACAGATACAAACTCAATGTAAACTGCTCCAAACTTGATTGCAGAAAGTACCACTTCAGCAACAGAGTGGTCAATGCCTGGACTCTGTTGTTACATCCTCAAACCCACGCTCCTTTTCCCTCAAACTAACCACTATTGACCTCACCCCCTTTCCTAAGAAGTCTGTAAGGGGCGTGCATAAGTGCACAATCATGCCTACCGTCCCTGTCCTATTGTCCCCATTTATTCGTACCTATTTCCTGTATTCTTACTCATGTTTATACTTATACCTATTATCTTGTAAGCGATTGACAAATCAAATAAATAAATAGATCGGGGCTGTGCAAGCTTCAACGAAAATGATTTAGGAGAAACCTTCACAGGTTTCAAAATGGAAATGATTTAGAAGAAACCCTTCCTTGCTCTTCATCAAGGTATGCAGATCTTCTTACAGGACTAACAGACAGACAGATTAATAGAGTTGGAAGGGATTGGAAACCCTTCAGTGATGAAGCTCCCACAACTTCCGAAGGCAAACTGTTCCATTGGTTGATTGTTCTCACTGTCAGAAAGTTTCTCCTTATTTCCAGGTTGAATCTCTCCTTGTTTAGTTTCCACCCATTATTCCTTGTCTGGCCTTCGGGTGCTTTGGAAAATAGCTTGACCCCTTCCTCCTCTCTGTGACAGCCCCTCAAATACTGGAACACTGCTATCATGTCTCCCCTGGTCCTTCTCTTCCCTAGACTAGCCATGCCCAGTTCCTGTAACCGTTCTTCATATGTTTTAGCCTCCAGTCCCCTAATCCCCTAAAAGACTATATGACACCCTGACAAAAAAGATGATGGTGCTTTAAAAGTTGAAGTAACTTTAATCAATGGATTCCTTCAAAGAGCACCATCTTTTTTATATTTAGGATACTGGAAGGAAAATGTTGACTTTACTTACTGTAAAGTCAAAGCATTTCTTCCATATTAGTTTAAAACATGCACAGTCCTACTTCATATTCCTTTATACAGGTAGCCCTCAAGTTTGACCATAACGGAACCTGTTAGATTATAATGGAGTCATAAATTGTAATGGTGATAAAACAGGTCAGTCTCATGACCGACCCAACTTTACAACTTGTTGTAGCTGTTGCTAAGTGAACACCATGGTCATTAAGCAGACCCATTGTTTGCTCTGGTGTCATCGTCAATTAACGACTCCATAATCTCTTGTGGGGTGGCGTCTGGGCAATTGAATGGAGCTAGCAAGAGGTTTTTTTTAATGACCGGCTGCCCTTCCTGTTGCCAGTGCAAAGTTTTGTTCAGCAGATATATTCTCTTTGTGCCCAGAGAGAGAAACATCTGCCTCTAACCTAGGATCGAACTCACAGCCTCCTGATTGTGAGGCAAGACCTCCACCACTAGGCTACCGCTCCACTCTATCGTTTGCTCTGGTGTAATTTTGCCAAAACCGAAGTATATGCTGGGTTTTGGCAAAACTGGCTATTTACAGCATCTTTCAGTCATGTGACCAAGTTTTATGACAGATTGCAAATCCGGCACAAGGAGAGAGAGAAAAAAAATATTTCACTGTTGTAGTCACAACTGCCATCTTGATTTTTTTGATTCACCCAAACCCCATCTCAGAACATTTCACACATTCTGCAGACTACAGAAAAAGCAATTGCTACCAACCTGCCTTCAATCGAGGACCTGTATACTGCACGAGTCAAAAAGAGGGCTGTGAAAATATTTACAGACCCCTCACATCCCAGACATAAATTGTTCCAACTTCTACCCTCAAAACGACTCTATAGAGCACTGCATACCAGAACAACTAGACCCAAGGAGTTTTTCCCCGAACGCCATCACTCTGATAAACAAATAATTCCCTCAACACTGTCCAACTATTCACAAAGTCTGCACTACTTACTATTACTATTAATCTTCTCATCACTCCTTATCGCCCATCCCCTCCCACTTGTGATTGTATGACTGCAACTTTGTCGCTTGTATACTTACGAGTTATATTGACTTTCCTAGTATGATTTGATTGCTTATTGTAGCCTATGACTACTATTAAGTGTTGTACCTGATGATTCTTGACGAATGTATCTTTTCTTTTATGTACATTGAGAGCATTTGCACCAAGACAAATTCCTTGTGTGTCCAATCACACTTGGCTAATAAAGAATTCTAATCTAATCTATTCTATTCTATAAAGAATTCTATTCTATTCACACATGCAATGTAAATTTCTTTGGTTTGAATACAGATAGTCCTCCACTTGCAAAAGTACATTTAGCAACTGTTCGAAGTCACAATGGTGCTAACATCTGCAGTGATTCACCTAACCAATGGGGCAAGAAAAGTCATAAAAATGGGACACTTCACCCAGTTCTCTTTTAGCAATATAAATCCTGGGCTCAGTTGTGGTTGCAAGTCGAGGACCACCTGTACTAAGTTGATAAGGCTGTAAATATCTTAAGTTTTATAGTAGCAAGATATGTTTGGTGAGCTAGAGGGCATTGCAAATTGTTCTTGTTCTTTTAGCTCAGATCCTACCTGAAAACATTGGCCAAAAAGAAGATCGATCTTGACCTCTCTAAAGCATCAACTACTTGGCATTTTTCCAGAGTTGTGCAGATGCTGCGTAGTGCCAAGAAGAAAGATATCCTTCTACTACTGAAGAAAGCTCCAGAGAGTATGTTGTAAGTAAAGGAAAATTATTATTCTTGTGATGATTCGTTGGACAGTCAGCCAGATATTTAGACTGGATTGGGCATTTTTATCCACCTATCAAATCCTTCCCAAGGACATGGGATAACCAAAAGTTCTTGTTTGATGGAGTTATAGCTATCTTTGTAGGATGTAAGCTGTTCCAAGTAACCTGGGATTATTATTATTTTTTTTGCAATTGACTGGTGATGATTTTGCTAATGCCCTATTATTATTTTTGCTTTCCTGAGGACATCTAAAGTACTGCTATTCCTTTTTACAGAAAATTAAAGCGCAAGGCTAATTAATTAGTTTAGGAAATGAATGTGTGGCCTTCTGCTTATCCAGAATATTTGCAGGGAAGTATCAAAAAAGTCAAGCCCACAAGCATGTAATCAAAGTCCCACCCATTTTTCATGTGTGTGCAATAAGACTTCGATGGTATACCTTTGGCTGCCATCATAATTATCACCCTGCAGAGACCTCTGAACTTAATAATCCCAAACTTAACTAATTTTGCAGACACCTGGAAACTAATCATTCTATCCCTGGCTAACTCAACATTTAAAGTTTTTGCGTTGTCCCATTTTTAGACCCTTCTACATTGAAGCTGCGATAGCTGCCCATTCAACACCTTCCTTAGTAGCAGTGACTGAATTTATGGATTTGCAGGGCAGAAAGCAATCGTCCTTGTTGGAAAACTTCCTCTACGCTGCAGCTTTGTCTCCTCGTCCTTCCAAGGAACTTTTCAATCTGGTGCTTGTAAGTCCAAGTCATCTCTGCTATTCGCTGTACTGCTCTTTCCATATCTTGATGTTTCAATGTCGCTTTTATCTCCTTTTACTTTTAAGTGAGTGAATGAAAATAGGGGGAGGGAGGGAGGGAGGGAAAGAGGGAAGGGTGGAGCGAGGCAAAGATTTTGATGTGGCTGTGAGATGCCCAAGTTACATGGCAACAAGGATGTTAAGCAGCACCATGGAAGTATGGAATAAAGATTTGATTAAAATGTTGAATTTGACAAAAATAGAATACCACAATAACTTTTCTATGGTTGTCTCATATAACACCCGTGCTTTGTACTCAGTGCTTGGTGACCTTTTGATGAATGTTTGAGCTGTCTGCATTGAAAGAAAATAATTCCATGTCAAAGAGCTTAATGCGATTAATTAAAACAAGTAAAAACTTCATCGCACAAATTATATTACAAATAAAAATGCAAGCAGCTATCCTGTCTCTGAAGGGAAGCTATTCCACTGAAAAAAATGGTTATCATCATTAGGGTCTTTCTTTCCCTAACGGTCTACTAACATCTGCTTCTGTGTGGTGTTCAGCAATTGGTTCCAGTTGGTCCACTCCAAAAAAAAAAAAAAAAAAACCTTCAAATCTGCTCCATCTTTTATAATTCAGCCTTCATGCAGTAGATTATTTGCTATCCTTCTGTTAACATTCCCCAGACCAAACACATCTAACTCATCAGATAGCATTTTTACATCTCACACTATCCTGATCGCCATGCCCTGGATCAGTGGTGTGATTCAAATTTGTTTACTGCCGGTTCTGTGGGCGTGGCATGGCTTGGTGGGCATGGCAGGGGAAGGATACTGTAAAATCTCCATACCCTCCCCACTTCTGGGGGAAGTTTACTGCAAAAATCCCCATTTCCTCCCCATCCCACTAACCTGCTTTCCAGCTCCGTTCTCCTGTGCAGGGCAACAAAAGAAGACCCAGACGATCAACTGGGACCCAGGAGGCAGAGAATAGATGGAGGCAAGGCCAGTCAGAGGTGGTATTTGCCGGTTCTCCGAACTAGTCAAGATTTCCGCTACTGGTTCTCCAGAACTGGTCAGAACCTGCTGAATACCACCTCTGCCCACTATGTCAGTGTTCTGAAACAGGGTTCCCCAACCCCAGACTGCGGACCGGTACTGGTCTGTGGCCCATTAGGGTGAGTGAATCTTCCTCTGCATGTGCGAAATCACACATACACACCAACCTGTGGAAAAATTGTTTTCTACAGAACCGGTCCTTGGTGCCCAAAAGTTTGAGGACCACTGATCTGAAATATCACAGATCCGTATTATAATCCAGAGATACATTTCTTGAATTTCGTGTTCTTGGTTTTCTCCCAGTGTTTTCAACTTGCCAAATTCATTACAAAATTTCATTCAGTTTTTATAGCACCAGGTATGCTTCCAAGCTCCATGGAGTATGCAACCTTTCCACACTTTCATCCAAATCATATACTATATACAACAGTGGCCCCAAACTTTTTGGCACCAAAAAGACCAGGGACTGGTTTCACGAAAGACCATTTTTCTACGGAGCAGGGGGGGTGGTGGCTGGGTGAGGAGGAGCAGGCGATCTAGATTCCATACATGTGCAGTTTACAGTTTGCTCTTCCGCCACTCACCTCCATCTGTGCTGCCCGGTTCTTAACAAGCCAAGGACTGGTGCTGGTCCGTGGCCTGGGGATTGGGGACCCCTGCTGTATAAAACTGTTGACCAGAACAGTTACTGGGTGGTCCACCTGAGATCTCCTGCCAGGTTGATCCTGAGTTATTTATGAGTGCCTATTGCCACAAAAGAGTCTTTCTGAACTATAAACATTCCTTTGAGCTCTTGGGCAACTCCATGGATACATCCATGGAGTTTTCTTAGTATCAAGTCAGATGTGCCTTGCTCTATTCTGGGATGTTTCTTTGAATTCTCAATAGTCCCTACAGCCTTTGAATGTTCTGGTGGTCTACCGTCCAAGTACTAATCAGGTTCAACTGTGCTTAGCAGTTGGGAACCAAGTCAAGATTAGCAAGATGTTGCCAACTTGGGCATCTCTCCTTCTGGAAATTGAAGTTCACACTACTGGAGGGCATCCGGATTGGAGAATTTTGATACCGCAAGTATCATCATCTCCAAAAAAAAATTTTTTTTTACATACAATAAATCCATTCCATTTCAATCATGTGTCAATTAGATACATATTTCGTGTGTTTACAATTAATAATAACACTCTTCTTATCAATATAACAATAATCACATTCCCGTATGAATAATATAAGTACTACCCAATATATCTATTTTACCAGCTTCTCTTATTGTTTTATAACTATATCTAATCCATTTTAATTTATTTTATTTTCTAACCATTGGTAAAACAAATCCCATACCATGTAATATTCAGATTCTTCCCTTTCTTTGATTTCTAATGTTAGTCTATTCATTGCTGCACATTCAAATATTTTTTCAATTACTTTTCCCTCTATCGGCATCTTATCACTTTTCCAATTCTGAGCAAATACAATTCTAGCTGCTGTTAAGACATGTATGATTAAGTATGTTTTTTCTTTACTATAACCTTCGGGTACCATTCCTAATAAAAATATTACAGGTTTCAAATTGATATGTTGTTTAATCATTTTTTTCCAACCACGTGTGTATTTTAGTGCAATATCTTTTAACTTCTATGCAAGACCACCAGATATGGTAGTATGTTCCCGGGATCATAATCTCAATCAAATGCTGAGTGCAAAAACAAACAAACAAACAAGCAAACACCAAACCCTTAAATTCTTCACAATCGTTCAATGCCATTCAAGATGACAATCCTCTTTAATACACCCTTGAATGAAGGGCCATGTCCCTCCTCTCTCTTTCTTATAGGACAGTCTAAACAACAAATACCTCAATCAAGCCACTTCAGAAATAGGAAACATGATCATTGGCAGTCTCGTGGGCAAATTGTGTCAGATGAACCAATGTGACCTAAAGGTGAGTTGATGCAGTTATTCTTCTCCTTTCCACTTTGGATTACCAGTTGGCGTTTTGACTGATGTCGCTCCTTTTGGTTCGTTCTTCCCATCTTTCAAATAAACTAGGAAGTCAGCCTTGCAAAGGAAACCATCCTGAAAAAACTTCATCGCTCCAAGACGGACTCGTGGAAGATGATGTACCTGTTGTCTCTGAAAAGTACTCTGCTCCCAGAATTCATCCCCACCTTCCTGTATTATGCAGAGGAAGGCTCATCCTCCATCTCAGCTGCAGCGTTGACAGCTCTAAAGAGATACAGTACAGAGCACATCACAAGCACGGTATGGGATGTCCTGTTGCTAAAATAAACCTTGCTAAGAATTAATCTTTAAAACTAGTGCTTTAATGAAACATTGCTGCTATTCTCTGCCAGGAAGTCCAGAAGCTATATGCAGTTTGACTGTTCCTTGATTTGCATCAGAAATTAATTCCATTATTTAATATAATAATATACTACTATTTTATTGTCACTGTATGTATATGCACAGTATACACATACAACGAAATTCACATAACACTCAGAGACCAGACTCAACATGCACACACATATGACAATCCCCAAACACACCCCCACCCACCAAAATTCTCCAGCCCCTAAAACACACAAGCATCCATACAACAGTAATACTATCCAACAGCTCACTGATGGTGGTCCTTAAGTTCATTGTTAAGTGCAATTATAGCTCTGGGATAAAAAGGTGTGGTCCAAGTTTTAACTGTTCTGTATCTTCTGCCAGAAGGCAACAGTTCAAAAAGATTGAAAGCAGGATGGGAAGAGTCTCTGAGAATGTTGTGCAACTTCCTCAAACAGCGAGATGTGAAGATGTTGTCCAGGGCTGGTAACTGGAGCCCAATGATATTCTGGGCAGTTTTGATGATTCTCTGTAGAGCCTTTTTGTCCGCTACAGAGCTGCTCCCATACCATACAAGAATGCCATATGTCAGGACACTCTCAGTGAGGTAGTAGGGAAAATAGGAGGTGAAATGATTAGATATATACATGCTTTGATTGAACCAAACCAAAAAAGGGATTTTAAAATATCTAATTATTAAATAATGCTTCCATTATCCCTTGCCTTTTGCTATACTGCTGTTATGGTTAGCTGGCAGCAGGTGCAGACTGCTGAGGAGAGCGAGGACTCAGATGAGGGGCCAGGACCATTAGGGAGTGGACTGCTGCCTTCAGAGACTGTGGGGGCTGGCAGCAGCGATGAGGAGGTTCCCGAGGAGCCTGTGCCAAGTGTGCGTGAGCACAGGATTGCTCGCAGGAAAGAGCAGTTGCAGTGGCACAGGTGACTCGGGAGTAAGGCTGCAAGGTAATGGCCCCTCCTTCAAGAAGATAAAAAACCAGCTGTGAAGCGAATGTTCTTTGCAGGAAGCAAAGACATTTTGAAATTCCAGCCTCATGGACATTCCAGTATCCTGAATTTGTATTTGAAGATTCTTGTATTGCAAATTATTTCTTGTCTGTTATCTTTTGGCAAGCCTTGTACAGTTTGGCAAGGTTTGTGTTTATCACAGCTAATTATTTTGTTACAAGCATTACAAGGTTTCTGTTCCTTTTGGATTGTGTTTGATTTGTTGGAAAAGGGCGTGGGTCAGAAGAACCGCATAGATCTGGTAGAAACTGGAGTTTAACAATATCTTGAAATATAGAAAACTAGCACGTCAAGGATTTAAGCTCATTTGAATGGAAGAAAAGTTGTCATTCAAATCAAGTTATTGTCATTGCACTAAAAACACCTATGGTTTGTCCTGCTTTCTCGCACCAGGTTAAAATGGCAATGAAACGCATTTTCTACCAAGTTCAGAGAAAGTATCAAAAAAATTCAAGGTTGGCAGCTGCAGAAATCCTCTTGGACAACAGTCCCTCACACATGGACTTCATCAATATCCTGTTGGCCAGCAGAGCACTTTCACCAGAAATGCAGAGATTTATATTGTCCAAAATTCTAGGCATTATGTCTTCTGATAACCATCCAACCAGGTAAACTATACTGAATGTCATTACATAAAATTATGTATAATATTGCGTCTCCATGACCACCAGTGTTATTTCTTTTCACTTTTTCCTTCAATCTATTATATAAAATTTCTCTTTTTCTTTGTAATATGTTTTTTTGTTTTTACATTTTAAAAACATCTCTTTCCGTGAACAAAGTGGTTCCAGGTTTTTACATTTCAATACAAACATGACCTTAGTATATATTTATCTTTCACATTCAATTCTATATCATATCATTACTTCCATTTTCCAATCAATTTTCTCCAATATTCTTATTTTCTTTACACTTATTAAATCCATTTTCAATTTATATCTTAACTTAATTCCTTTTTCTTTAAATATACTCATATCTTGTTTTATAGTCTAACATTCTTATTTTTTATTCTAAATTCATTATTCCTTTATACTTTTATCTGTCATATTTGCAATTTTATCACATACTTTTGTTTCATTATTCATTAAATTTCAACTTAAATCTATTAATTCCAAAAATTTCCCCCTTTTATTACCAATTAGAGTGTGCCACCCTTTTATCTTATACATCCCTCAATTTATTCCCCTTTAATCCATAATCAAAATTTATAATATAATCACTGTATAATTATCACATTCTAGTTTAATTACAATAATCTCCTAACTACTATGTGCCACATGTGCATATATATATTTTAAGCAAAATTCCGTATTCTTTTCCCTCAATTATTTTCTTAACCACTTATTCCAATAAAACTTCTCATGGATAATTCTGCTGCCCAGATAAAATCTCATATGAATCAACTGTATGTAAGGCTATGTCTTTGATCAACTAGTCCAGTGGCATACTTTCTACATCACTGTCGACAGCTATTCTTTGACATGAAATATTTGCTGTTCCCATAGCTGCATTTCCTTAGAATTTGAGATTTAGTCATGCAAAGCAAATATTCATTGAGAACTCGGGTTCTAAGGTTCTCTGATCTCTAGTGAGACATTCAAGTAAGTCCTTGACTTACTACAGCTCATTTAGTGACCATTTGAAGTTACAACAACACTGAAAAAAGTGACTTGTGACTGTTTTTCCACACTCAAAATTCAGGCGCTTGGCAACAGACTCGTATTTATGACAGTCAGAGTGTCCTGGGGTCATGTGATCGCCTTTTGCGACCTTCTAATAAACAAAGTCAATGGGGAAGCCAGATTCATTTAACAACCATGTTACTAACTGAACAACTGCAGTGATTCATTTAACGAATGTGGCCCAAAAAGGGTTGTAAAATGGCAGAAAATTCACTTAACAATTATCACTTAACAACAGAAATGTCTGGCTCAATTGTGGTCATAAGTCAAGGACAACCTGTAATTCCCATAGTTCAACTTCCCATGGGTCCACCATGACCAGAAGATTGATGTTACAAAAAGATTCAGAACAATACAGTGAATAAAAACTCTAAAGAAATCCCTCATCATAAAAGATAAGTAGTATCCGTTAAACATGTTCTCTAGTACAGAGTACATTCCCCATGCTGGCTAAGGAATTCTGGGAGTTGAAATCCAAAAGTCTCAAAGTTGCCAAGTTTGGAGACCCCTGCTCCAGTACAATGAGAATGATATAGCACTAGCACTTAGACTTATATACCACTTCACAGTGCTTTACAACCCTCTCTAAGCAGTTTATAGAGTCAGCCTATTGCCCCCAACAATTTGGTCTTCATTTTACCCATCTAGGAAGGATGGACGGCTGAGTCAACCTTGAGCCTGGTGAGATTTGAACTGCCAAATTGCAGGCAGCCGGCAGGCAGCAGAAGTAGCCTGCAGTGCTACACTTTAACCACAGTGCCACCGCAGCTCATAATCTTCTTTCATAAAGAAATATATAGAGATCAGGGTTTAGAGGACAGAACATTTTGGCAAACTATTTTTAAAAAGTACAGCCGATCTCTTTTTTTATATTGTCTGCTATAGTTCATCTATGACTGCTTTTATTTTTTTCTCCACCTTTCCTGTTGATCCAGGCAGGTGATCAAAGATGTCTTGAAGGATCCAAGGATAAATAATTACTACTACTTCTCACCCAAAGATGGCAGATCCATCTCTTTCTCAGGATTATTAGCAGGTGAATAATGTAGTATTATTTAATCATCTCAAAAAAAAAAAGATGGAAAATCTCCTTGATATTCAAAAATATCTATGGAAGCCTCCTGTATCAATATGGTAAAATGTGTTCTAACACAACCACTAAGTCCAAAGCACAATAACATTTCGAGAATATGAACTAAAGTAAGGATTTATTTTAAGTTGAAGTCAACTACAGTATTGATGATTTCATGGAACATGTCTGGGTAATTTTCTTAGCAATTAAATAAAACTTTATCTTGCCATTATTTACTTCCTTTTTTTGCAACCCAATCTAGCCTAAACCTGGAACTTTCTAATACTCTCCCTCCCAAATATTAATCAAGCCTCTGCATGCATAGTTCTATCTATCTATCTGTCTGTCTGTTTGCCTGTCTGTCTATCTATCATCTACCTACCTACCTATCATCTATCTTCAGTGTTGAGCCTGGATTCCCCAACGGGTGTTAAGGAAAACAAACTAAACAGAAC